TATCTATCTATCTATCTATCTATCTATCTATCTATCTATCTATCTATCTATCTATCTATCTATCGTATGTACAGTTCAGGAATATTGTGTATAATCTGCACCATAGATATTTTGCAAAATTAGCTGAATGAAAACTGCATGCTCTGAATTCCCAGTTCCTTTTGTAAGAGTTGTTCAGAAGCCCATGGAAGGAAGGTTTTTAAAAGCCTGTGTGGCCTTTACCAAGTGGACCAGACAAGAAACCAGGTAAATTAATGCTACTTTATAGTAAGGCTACATTAACAGAACCGTGTAAGTCTGAAAGTACTGACCTCCCCCTGTCTCTTTTAGAGCATGAAAAACTGGCAAAGGTCCCTTCTGAGCCTCTTGCTCCATCCACTATAAAGCTGCGGGCTACGCCCTCTCTTATCTGACCATTTCCTAGGCAGCATCTCTTGGCCCCACCTCCTAACGTTTTTCCCACATACCATTACATTATGTCACAACTCTATGGTAGCTTCTTATGTGGTTATTGCACACATCTGACAATTAAACAAGTTAAAACAAATAAGACAAATGGACACATGAAAACTTGAAGAGATTAATCTACAAAATCATCTTCCTTTGAAAAGAATATCTGGCAGTTATCTGATGATTTTGTTCCCTATGTCTTTTGGAAAACAAATGTGTTGCCTTAAAGCTCCAACATTATAAACCTATATAACTGCACGCGTCAAAAAGAGGGCTGTGGAAATATCTACAGACCCTTCACATCCTGGACATAAATTGTTTCAACTCCTACTCTCAAAATGAAGCTATAGGGCTCTGCACACCAGAACAACAAGACACAAGGACACTTTTTTCCCCAACTGCCCTCACTGTGCTTAACAACTAATCCCCACAACACTATCAAATTATCTACTAAGACTTTATTACTATTATTCTTCTCTTCCTTCCTACTACCTATCTCTTTCCTAGTNAGGACAGGACAGGACAGGACAGGACAGGACAGAATTCTTTATTGGCCAAGTGGATAGGACAGGACAGGTCAGGACAGAACAGAATAGAATTTTTTATTGGCCAAGTGGATAGGACAGGATAGGACAGAATAAAATTCTTTATTGGCCTAGTGGATAGGACAGGATAGAACAGAATAGAATTCTTTATTGGCCAAGTGGAGAGGATAGGATAGGACCAATGTTCCCTCTAAGCTGCGCGGCCGCATACATGACAAGAAATTGCCGCGCAGCAGTTTCCATCCTGGCCCTTCGCTGCAGAATCGAAGCAAGTTTCAAGAGGTTGCAAAACCCGAACAACAAAAGGAGTTGAGGACGACAAAGTAGGGAGAAGTTGCGAGAGGTAGAAGAGAAGAGGGCAATTTGGGAGGAGGGGAATGGGGAGAGAGAGAGGGGGACAAAGGGATGAAAAAGTGGCGAGAAGGAAGAAGCGACAGCCGGGTGGAAAAATACAGCATACGACAATAAAGGGAGAAGGGAAAAAAAGGACTGAGTGATAGGCTTGAAATGTTCCAGCTGTTCTGAGGTTGAGTAAACATCTGGGCATGGAGAAGCTTTCCCCAATGTAAGGGGAGGGGAGGGGAGCAGAGAAGAGAAGAGAAGAGAAGAGAAAGGCACACAAACAGAGCATCTACAGAGTCCAGAGTGACAGCAGAACCAACAATCACATAGTAGTATCAAAATATCAAAGCATACCTCTTCACTTAATATCTTTCAAATCTCAGATTTCCTTTGGCTAAATCTTCTCACTGGATCTTCCAGGAAAGACTCTGTAAATGTATTGCTAAATCCATCTTTGTTCCTGCACTCTTCTACAGTTAGGGGAACCACGGGACAGAAAATATCTGTTCTGATCGAGGCTTTCCAAAAGCCTGAAGCAAACTCCTTGTCTGGACAAAAACCCCTTTTATTAATTGATTGTGAATTCTGCTCATTCCCATCCAGCAAAGTCTTTTGAGGGAGGATTTATAGTCACAGACCTTATCTGGCTTGGAGAGCTGCCAGGCAGATATCTGCAAAACTTGGCAAGGAGCCTCGGAGAGCCAAGCACCAATTAAGCAAACTAATTGTCTCCTGCAAACTCCACTCCCCTTTCGCTCCTCTTTTATTTCCTCTGGGAGGGGCCATTCATTGTCTGGCCTTACTTCCAAGTCGACCCCTGTTCTTTAGCTCTTCCCTTCGTCTGGCCACTGCACATGCGCATGCTGGGAACAGGCTCCAGCTGTTCTTCTGCCCCACTGATCTCCGACTCTGAAGGCAGCACATAACTACCAGATGGCCCTGGCCCCCTCTCTGCCTCCGATGCACAGCCCTCATCAGAGCCTCCCCCAGACTCTAAGACTGGCCCATCTTCCTCCCCAACCTCCTCACTGTCCGAATCTGCTGCCTGCTCCGTTGGCCGCTGGTGGGTCACAACAATATCACAACTGCACAGAGCATCCTCCAGACACACACCTGCGTGCTTGTTGCAACAGGTCTTCCTTCCTCTGAAGCAGCATCCGCTGCCTCTCATCTGCTGACTTGGAAAAGCGACTGCCTCTCACTTCGAAGTCCTCTGTCTCGACTGCTTCAGCTTCCATTTCATTAAACTCCGCCGTGTCTTCCAGCCTTGAGCTGAGCTCAAGTGGGATCCTTTCCGTCTGCCACGCAGGACGAAAGGGGGAGGGGGGAGAAAAACAAAGCCCATTTGCATTCGTTCATTGATTAATTCGGTTGGTGCATTTATTACGGCCACAGAGCACGAAAGGAAGAAAATTGGCAATAGCAATAAAATGCATACAAAAGGAAAAGAGGAAAACAGCCTAAAAGGTTTTAAAATTGGGCATCCCTGACCTGAAGTAATTGATTCAGCCAATTCCCTACAGAGAAAACTATCTCTGTATAGATAGCAATAGCAGTTAGACTTCACAGTGCTTTGTAGTCCTCGCTAAATGGTTTACAGAGTCAGCCTCCTGCCCCCAACAATCTGGGTCCTCATTTCACCCATCTCAGGAGGATGGAAGGCTGAGCCAACCTTGAGCCTTTGGTCGGTATCGAACTGCTAGCAGTGGGCAGAGTTAGTCTGCAATGTGTGGATTTTACCCACTGTGCCACCAGGGCTCAATAAATAGATAAATAGGCATAAAGAGAGAAAGCTATACCAATAGCACTTAGATTCATATACCGTTTTACAGTGCTTTCCAGCCCTCTTGCCCCCAACAATCTGGGTCCTTGTTTTACCCACCTCGGAAGGATGGAAGGTGGAGTCAACCTTGAGCCAGTCAGGATTGAACTGCTGGCAGTGGGCAGAGTTAGCCTGCAATACTGCATTCTAACCACTGCTCATCATGGATGGATGGCACTTAGCACTTAGACTTACAGTATATACCACTTCACAGTGCTTTACAGCCTCTCTAAGCAGTTTATAGAGTCAGCCTCTTGCCCCCAACAATATGGATCCTCATTTTACCAACCTTGGAAGGATGGAAGGCTGAGTCAAGCTTCAGCTGGTGAAAATCGAACTGCCTGCAATACTGCATTCTAACCACTATGCCACCACTCTTTATTATACCCTTCCTTTGCCACATTACCTCCATGTCCTCTTCAGCATCTTCTTGATCGGTATTCTGCCTTTCTATAGGATTGTTCAATGCTGGTCGGATACTGTCAGAACGCTGTGCATGTTTAAAAAATAATAATTAACTGATGTGGAAAACATGAAATTTCCTTTTTTGTAAGCATTTTAAATTGTGTTATGGATCCTGCTGAAACTCCCATTTTGAGGCCATGGGACATACCGACTGATTATTTTTTTAAATTCAATTTTTTTATCAGAATAGAAAACACACACAAAAAAGTAAAATAATAAGAAACTAGGGGAGGATAAAGGGAAGAAGAGGCACCGTAGGGTAAAAGGGAAAAAGGAGAAGAAAAACATTTGACTAACATTTTACTCTTTCCAGCAGAGTAAAAGATAATAACATTACAGCCTCAAATTTTTGCTTTTACACAGTAATATATACTAGCCATTTCTATAACTACAAACCTGTTTAATCAGCAAAACCCCAAATCTATTTCATTTTCCCCCCATCTCAAGCACAAAATCCAGAAGTAGTTTCCATGTGGAAACAAAATTAGATATATTCTTGGCTTTAAATAAAGCAATCAATGTAACCATCTCTATTTTTTCCTTGTGGAAAATAATGTATATTTGTATTTGCAATTATTAATCTTTATAAACTATGAAGTATAGTTTATAAAGATAAATATGTCATTTATCAAAACCTGTAAGGCTGTAAAGATTTTTGTCTATTATCTGTCTCCCTCTCCCTCTATCATGTTATAATTCACTCACTTGTCTACCTACCTACCTCTATCTATTTATCTATTTCTATCTACCTATCATCCAACCAGCCAGCCAGCCGTCTATCTGTCTACCTATCATCTACGTATATACCTATCTTCCATCTATATCGTATCTATCTATCTATCTATCTATCTATCTATCTATCTATCTATCTATCTATCTATCTATCATCTGTCTATATACAGTATCTACCTACCTATCATCTATCATCCATTTATATGCCTGCATCTCCTTAAATAGATAGATCTATCATCATTATCATCTATCATCCATTTATATGCCTGCATCTCCTTAAATAGATAGATCTATCAT